AGGAGAAAATCTGCTTCATAGGTTAAATTCGATAGTAAAGAATGTTATAAATTTACTTTTAAATGAATTGAAGAAGTTTAAATGAAACTAGATTTTACACATTTTATTGCGTATTTTAACTTATTTTATATTCTCGTCCCAGTGTCATAGTTAAACACGGCTTGGTTTATGCTTGTTTACCTTCAGTTAACAACTATTAGTTTTTGGTCCGATGTACGCAGAATGGGCGTATCTTGAAGGCTTGCAATTGTATGCTTGTTTACCTTCAGTTAACAATTATTAGTATTTGGTCAGATGTACGCAGAATGGGCGTATCTTGAAGGCTTGCAATTGTATGCTTGTTTACCTTCAGTTAACAATTATTAGTATTTGGTCCGATGTACGCAGAATGGGCGTATCTTGAAGGCTTGCAATTGTATGCTTGTTTACCTTCAGTTAACAATTATTAGTTTTCGGTCCCATGTACGCAGAATGGGCGTATCTTGAAGGCTTGCAATTGTATGCTTGTTTACCTTCAGTTAACAATTATTAGTTTTTGGTCCGATGTACGCAGAATGGGCGTATCTTGAAGGCTTGCAATTGTATGCTTGTTTACCTTCAGTTAACAATTATTAGTTTTTGGTCCGATGTACGCAGAATGGGCGTATCTTGAAGGCTTGCAATTGTATGCTTGTTTACCTTCAGTTAACAATTATTAGTTTTCGGTCCGATGTACGCAGAATGGGCGTATCTTGAAGGCTTGCAATTGTATGCTTGTTTAGCTTCAGTTAACAATTATTAGTATTTGGTCCGATGTACGCAGAATGGGCGTATCTTGAAGGCTTGCAATTGTATGCTTGTTTACCTTCAGTTAACAATTATTAGTTTTCGGTCCCATGTACGCAGAATGGGCGTATCTTGAAGGCTTGCAATTGTATGCTTGTTTACCTTCAGTTAACAATTATTAGTTTTTGGTCCGATGTACGCAGAATGGGCGTATCTTGAAGGCTTGCAATTGTATGCTTGTTTACCTTCAGTTAACAATTATTAGTTTTTGGTCCGATGTACGCAGAATGGGCGTATCTTGAAGGCTTGCAATTGTATGCTTGTTTACCTTCAGTTAACAATTATTAGTTTTCGGTCCCATGTACGCAGAATGGGCGTATCTTGAAGGCTTGCAATTGTATGCTTGCTTACCTTCAGTTAACAATTATTAGTATTTGGTCCGATGTACGCAGAATGGGCGTATCTTGAAGGCTTGCAATTCTATGCTTGTTTACCTTCAGTTAACAATTATTAGTATTTGGTCCGATGTACGCAGAATGGGCGTATCTTGAAGGCTTGCAATTGTATGCTTGTTTACCTTCAGTTAACAATTATTAGTTTTTGGTCCGATGTACGCAGAATGGGCGTATCTTGAAGGCTTGCAATTGTATGCTTGTTTACCTTCAGTTAACAATTATTAGTTTTCGGTCCCATGTACGCAGAATGGGCGTATCTTGAAGGCTTGCAATTGTATGCTTGCTTACCTTCAGTTAACAATTATTAGTATTTGGTCCGATGTACGCAGAATGGGCGTATCTTGAAGGCTTGCAATTGTATGCTTGTTTAGCTTCAGTTAACAATTATTAGTATTTGGTCCGATGTGCGCAGAATGGGCGTATCTTGAAGGCTTGCAATTGTATGCTTGTTTACCTTCAGTTAACAATTATTAGTTTTCGGTCCCATGTACGCAGAATGGGCGTATCTTGAAGGCTTGCAATTGTATGCTTGTTTACCTTCAGTTAACAATTATTAGTATTTGGTCCGATGTACGCAGAATGGGCGTATCTTGAAGGCTTGCAATTGTATGCTTGTTTTGGGATTTAATTTTATTAATTATAAGATCCCATGCAGATGGTAACACCCAGCCATTCCCTCGTCATAGTAATCTCCATAACATTACAAAGCAGAGTCATAAGAATCGTCATCTTCCAGTTCTCTTAGTTGAGTTTGGGAACCATTTTCTTTTTTATAGAGCACGTCTATCACTAACTGTATACCATGAGCAAGGCATTGCTGGTGGAAAAGTGCTGCTTCTCTTCCAAATGCGATCATTACATTGGCACCGTCATTAGTTGTATAGGCGAGCGGGCGGATTCGTCGTCGGCTCACGACTCGGGAGTAGGTACTCTTTCAGAAAGAGAGTGAGTGAGAAAGAGTCTTTCTCACTCACTCCAGAGTTACGTAGTACTATTATTTATTCTGTGCCAGAGTGTAGTCGCGCGACTTGCGTTGCATAGTCGAGCCGCGTTGCCATAGCATCCACCACGCGAAAAGCGTGGGCTTTTTTTTGACATAATACTATTTAACATAGATTTATAATGAAATACCGAAAAAGTCGTAAATACCGGTTTCCGTTCACTCAATCCCGGTATTTTAAAGCTTTCGTTTCAGTCCGGTATCCCGGTATTTTTGAGATTCGGGATCCCGGTTTGCGACCCCTATTTCGCCCCATTTCGTAAGTCTTTAAGGCTAGCATAAATAAATTTGTCGTACTGTATCAGTGTATAACTGTCCATCATTCTATCTCGCCTCGATAGTATCAAAAATAAATTAAATTGTGGAAAATTTTGTGTGATAGCGGTGTAATGTTATCCACTATCTCATATCGTCTCGTGGGGGCCGTAAGAGGTGTCAGATGAAAACAAACAAAGAGATGAGCGCAGCGTCTTCTTAATAACAATAAAACTGGTTGCTTGCTAAACCAAACGATAGGGCGATATTTGCCATAGTTGCCACTTACAAAACGTGGCAACTATGGCAAATATCCCCCTGACAATTTATGGGGAGGCCTATGCTCAGCAGTTAACTTTGATGGCTATTACGAATGAATGAAAAGATGATGTGCATGGCGGAGTAACATTTAGTAATCTCAAAACATAATATATTTAGGTATTGAAGCCCTGATTACTGAAAGTATTTCGCGGAAATTATTTTATTCTTTTTAGTTTTTTGAAGTTTATTTTTACTTTTCATTGAAAGTCTAATTTTGATGGCGGCTGTACACGCTCGTCTCGTCGCCTCGCGTGCCTCTCGTCGCGGAGAGCTCGAGACGAGAAAACACCTTGTATACACTCGTTGTATCATTTGAATTCCGTATGCCCGCTGAGATGGATCTAGATGAAACTGTTGCTGCGTGTTGCCTTTGTGCTATTAGTTATTATAACTTTTTACACATTTAGCTTAAAAATAAAATTAATAAGCCACGGCGAAGAAGAAGGTGGTGGATGGTTTCTATTTACCGTAAATGAACCATGTACGGTGAATATAATATAGTACGCTCTCATTTTCATCGCGAGACTCACGAGATCCTTTGACTCACACTTTGAGCAAAAAACCGACACGCTTCCTAGAGCGCACGAGGGCCACGAGACGCGACGAGAGCACGGAGTTCAAATGATACAACGAGTGTGTTCTCGTGTTGAGCCTCAACACGACGGGAGGCTTGCGAGGCGACGAGACGAGCGTGTACAGCCGGCAAAAGACTTAATCCCCCTATTTTTCCGCCCTTAGGGGTGGTTGTTTTTGCATCAAATTAATATGGACGAAATGAACTACGAAACATACAAAAAAATGAAAATACAGTCGAATAGAAAACATCCTCATGTTTGGAAATTTATCGAAGCAAATAAATGATTGTGGACTGTTTCCTTCAGTAATTACATAATGCCCTTGAAAAATGTTTTCCCTGTAAATAAGTATAATATAATCCTAATAATAAGTATAACATTAAGAAAAATTTTGTCTTAAATGATTTTCCGGTGGTAGAAATGTAATAATATGAACATTGTATTCATGGATCCTAACAAGTAATTAACTTTAAAATTATTATGTAGTATTCACCTTTTCATATATCTAAATATGTTATGTTTGAAATTCCAGGCTGTACCAACAGCGACAGTACCAACATCTAGCGGAGTCCGTAGTGTGCTGATGGACGGTCAACAATTAAAATTGGTTGGGGGGCGTCACGTGCTAGCCAGGATATTGAGACCGTCTAATCCGCCGCAATAGCAAGGGTTTTCGATCTACTTTGTATATAATACGTTATAGCATTAAAGTGACGGGGTAAAAGGCATATTTTAAATTTTTTTGTAAAATATATCAGAAGTTTATCAAGTTGTACATAAGGTTTAAGGTAAAAATTGCACCAGCACTGGAACCCTCAGTGGTCAAAGTATTGTTATTTCATAATAACATTTTAATGATGTACATTTAGTTTATATAACAAATATATGATTTAGTTTTAAGTTATTTAATCACAAACATGACCAGCGAGGTGTAGTATAAATAAGGATACATTATATATAATGTAACAGAAAGAAAAACAAAATGAACACGATAACAGAAGTGTGTTAAATGGATATTGCTACAAAAATATACCAATCGTTTAAGTAAAACTTCAATACGACATTAAAGAAAAACGTACTTAATTACTTTCTAAAACAATTTAAATATGGAAAACACTGAAATGTACCTACAACGCTAGCAGGACAAGAATTAGGCTGCGCTTACTGCAACTTCACTCGTAACGTCAATTTTTATGACGCCTTTATTTTTTATTATTATTGTTTTTATTTTAACCCTTCGTTGCGCGAATTTTTATTTCAAAAAAGAATAAAATATTTTCGGATTTGAAATAGCTTAAACATTACCAGAAAAATATTTGAAAAAATCACATTATTATATATTATGATATTTTTACAAAAACCATATCGTTGTTTTAAAACAACATTGCGCATTATCCAAGTGTTTTGAAGTATATATAGTGTATAGTGAAATATATGTTTTATTTTAACTAATTTATTTGAATATAAAAATTAATTATTATGGTATTTATAGAAACAATTATTTTTTTGTGTCACACAAAGAAACACCACATTTTTGACAAAATTTGAAGGTGTATCCACCACATTTTGGAAATTTGCACCGTTGCTGCTTGTCTACCCATACGGACCAATGGGAAACTTGGTCTAATCTCACATCCTTTGCAGGTATTGGTTGCGTAGCTCCTTTACGCCTTTTTTCTTCAATTTCATTTTGCAATGAATTGCTTGGCCGTCCCCGTTTGGTACCGTTAGTCTGCAACCCCATGCGACATAAAGTTTCACCCAATTCCATCCTGTATCTGGACAAATTTAACACTTTTGTGTCCTTTGTATGGACTTTTTTATAAATAAGCCAAGAGTTTATTACTGTCACGTCTAACAAATGATAAAAGAGGCGCATAGTCCACTTACGACTTCTCATTTTTATATTATAACGTCCAATGTAAGAATCTAGGAGATCAACCCCTCCCATGTGTGCGTTGTATTCTTTGATCACTTTTGGGCAAGAGATCGGAACTCGTTCTTTTTTTCACTTTATCATAGCGTGTCACAGTTGTAGCTGGTTCAGCACCAACGTAGGTGGAAAGGATATTCACAGGTTTATTGTCTTTCCATACTACAGCGCTGACATCAACACCATCCACATTCGCCACATTTTCTTCGTAATATCCTCTTGGGATGCTTTTTTTCATGATAGCCTTTTTGTCTGGTAGCTTACAATTGCGTAGACGGTTGACACGCACTGTCCCCAATGAATAAATACCTTCCTTAGCTAAGAAAGTCACAAGCGGTAGAGAGGTATAAAAATTATCAAAGTAGACTATATGGTTTGCTTTGCGAGGTATCATGCGAGCTAGACGTACCACAGTATTCCCTGACTCTCCTAAATTAGGTTCATTAGCTGCCACTGTAGTTTGACTGCCACTCCCGGTGTAAATTTCAAATTTATGAGCGTAGCCATAAAGGCTGCAAAGCAGGTAAAGTTTGAAGCCCCATTTGTGCGGCTTATTGGGCAAATATTGCTTTATATGGTGGCTCATTTTCGTGGCGCACATCTGTTCATCAATCGACAAACGTTGCTCGATTGGTACAGGTAGCAAACCTATTATTTAGTGCATCAACAAGCGGTCTGATAAGATAGATTCGGTCATGGTCAGGATGTCCTTTTGGCAAACATTTCTCTTTATCGTTGAAATGTATAATGGACCTTATTTTCTCAAATCGCTTCTGAGACATCGTCGTTTTTATAAGCTCATATCCATACTTGTCATGCCAGTAAAGTCTAATATTAGGAAAACGAATTACAGAAGAAACAATCAAAATTCCAAGAAACTTATTCAATTCATTCTCGTCTATGTTGACTGGGTTAGAAACTTGCTTCTGCATGGCATACAAGTTACTTTGCTCAACTGTATGTTTTATCAAATCTGGCGTGAAGAAATAGGTAAAAAAATCTAAAGGAGTCTCCCTTTGTGTAAGTTCTTCTGGCAATTGAGTATTGCCCTGAAATTTTAGATCCTCTTCTCTAGTAATGAGATTTCGTTGTCGCCAAACTATAGGTCTTGTAGGGCGATGTGAAGATGAAGTCGGTTCTTGTAAATGTTGATCTGTTTCCATAATAAAGCGATGATCCATATCATCATCGAGCTGGTTAGAAGATGGACTTTGAATGTTCTCACCTATGTGACGCTCTTCGCAATCTGAACCCTCCAGGTCGCGAAAAACTTCCCGAGCCGCTTGGTAATAGGTGTCTTCCTCGTCACTTTCCGATTCAGAGCCGTCGAGACCATCTTCAGAATCGTCTAAATTTTCTAGATAGTTCCGTATATCCTCGTCATTCAAGCGGGGCATACTAAAATAAAAACATAAAAAATCTATTAACAACCATACATTACATTTAATAAAAAGTGCGCAATGTTGTTTGTAAACAACATAAATAAAATGCTCAATAATTGCTTTTAAAATAATAAAACTAAAAAAATCACTAAATAATAACAAAATCGAGGTTACAATCAATAGAATAAATAAATTTTCAACACTTACTTGCACAAATAAAATTGTTTTACAATGACATAAATCTACTTGGCGGGCTTCAACTTTTTTGCCGCGCGAAGTGACAGATCCAGAAAAAAAAGTTAACTTTTTTTTCAAATATCGAGGTTGCCAGTATAATTTTTTAAATTTATACTAATTATAAAATTACTTCACATTGAAATTAAAAAAAAATACATGTAAGGTATGCTGTTCCTGAATGTGAAAAACTAATGTGGTTTTAATACAACACTGCGCAATTAAGGGTTAAGGAAAATTATTACACTAATAACAATAAAAGTAAAAATACGTTTTTATTATTGTACTTTAATTTGATTTTTTTTTGTGAAGCGAAATGTCAGAACAATCATGACAAGGCATTCATCATTTTTGTTTAGTGATATTCTAGCCAGCTCTTTTCATGGCGATATAGTCTAGAAATTTTCATTTGTTAAAAATTGATTCTAGTGACGAAACTACACTGTTTCACATAACGAATGGCGATCGTTCCGTTCCGTAACGCGAGCTTTGCTACCATACCAAGTCATTATACATTAGTGGTCCACGCCATTGGTCCACACATTCGTAAGGTTCGATTAGTAGGCAAAGACGTTGCCCATACATTATAATATAATTTGGGATAATTTAAAAAAAAAAGTAGAAGCCTTATTTACTTGTATTTTCAAAAACCGCAGTAATATATCATTATTTATATATTTGAATTTAAGTTTAAAATTTGGCTACTCGTTGAAAAATAACCCTGTATATTACACATCGTATTTATATACATCAGTATGCTAGGCAGGCATCTTTATGTATAGTACACATCGTTGAAACTGGTGCAACAATAGCATTTACTACTAATTTATTTAGTGGTATTAATGTATTAACTAATAATATTTATTTGAACAGCGTGTATATATAATATAAAAAAATCATTTTAAGACTTTATTTACTGGAAAGCAAACATAGTGCCTATAATATTCTAAAATGTATATTAAATGTTCCTTTATTCATTGATACGGTTGACAGTTTGCCTTTTGTCCCCTTGGATTGCGGCATTGTTGATTGACAAATTATTAGATATGGAAGTTTGCAACTTTAGTGTAAAAGACCTGAGATATTTTATAAGAATTCAAAGGTTTATTTAAATTGGATACAGAGTTATTTGTATAATTTAAATAGTTCAATTACAATGTTTCGGTTGCAATATCTAGTTATAACACAATTGTTAGTCAATTAGGATTGTAGTTTATTTTTTGTATAATAAATTTTATCTACATGAAATGAATCTTTTCATCATCATCATCATCATCATTACAGCCCTTCACAAGTCCACTGCTGAACATAGGCCTCCCCCAAGTAATGCCACAAAGCACGGTCCTGAGCCACCTGCATCCATCGACTTCCTGCATGTCTTACCAGGTCGTCACTCCATCTAGTGGGGGGTCGCCCTACACTACGCCTATCGGTACGAGGCTGCCACTCGAGAACCTTTCTTCCCCATCGGTTATCGGTTCTTCGAGCTATATGGCCGGCCCATTGCCACTTCAGCTTACTAATCCGTTGGGCTATGTCGGTCACTCTGGTTTTACTGCGGATATCCTCATTTCTGAGTCTATCACGCAGAAAAACTCCGAGCATAGCCCTCTCCATAGCTTGCTGAGCGACCTTGAGCGTCCTCTGAATGAATCTTTTAATACTATTTATTTACTAACTTTATGCAATGCAAGTACCGTGTAGTGGCGGTATAAGAATATCCGCTAGTCAATATCGTTCCGTGGCGTGGGTGTCGTGAGTGGCCACAGAAGTAAACAAACTAGGAGATAGGTAGCAGCAAATTCCTAATAACAACTAGCAAAATAAAAGAATGCGGTTGCCAACCCGCCTGCCAAGCTTGCCAACTATGGCATAATCCACCCATGAGGCAATCTATGTGGGAGGCCTATGTTCAGCAGTGGACTCTTATAGGCTGTAATGGATGGATGGAACAAATGTTATGATTTTAATGGCCAATTTAAAAAGATACCGCTGCAAGGACTAGCATTCGTAACGATTCTCGAAAGCGACGCATAGGCGCGGCTCAGAAGGGAAATCGGTCTGTAGTTCTTCAAGAGAGCGTTGTCGCCTTTCTTTAAGAACAAGACCATCGCACTTCTGCTCTACGTCTCCGGAGTAGTCCCACCAGGGAGGACAGAATAAAAGAGCTGAAGGACATCAAGTACGGGTTTTGCACTCGCTTTCAGAAGCTCCGCTGTAATTCCATCCTCGCCTGGGGCCTTGCCGGTTTTAAGGTGCTGGAGAGCCATTCTAAGCTCGGTCCACTGACCTCTATAATATATACACTGTACGAGTACGAGGTACGTACTACGTACGTACTGTACGATACGCTGTACGAGGTCAGTGGCTCAGTCAGACTGACGTCCAGTCAGTGTAAATAACTTATTAAACCGACAACAGATTTTTTTATTCTATGAACAGGCTTATAATTAGCTATTCCATTTGGCACTGGCAAAAGGACAACCGTACAAGTTTATTTTCAAACAAAAACTTAGAATATACTAGCGTATAAGTATATGTTTTCAAAATAAAAAGCTATTCACATAAAAAATCTTTTTGGCTCTAACTCCAACGTACTTTGTATTACTATACTCTATGCGTTGTTCATTTAAAAGTGTTTACATTAGAATTATAAAAATATCAGAAGATGGCGTTTTTACATGAACTTGGATTATTTTAAATAAATATAAATAATTAGAAATTATTCCTTCAATTAACTTAATAAAATGGAATTTTTCTATAATGCTTTTCTATAGAATAAGGGGTGACCAACGAGCACACACCACATAGTCCACTCTGTGGTAAGTGGCTACTGTGGCCCATAGACACCTCCATCCATCCTCAATTAGAAATCGAAATGTAGATGTTTTGTTGCCCCTGAATACTAAGATAGAATGACAGGTGCCAGTAAAATTGCTCCGGTTCCACATACCATGCGAAACACAACAGAATTAATGCGTTATGTTACGATTAATTAAATTATTATCATTTCCAGAGGCTCAAGTCTAGCAGTAAATTAGATATCGCTTATCTTACTAACTGAGCTGGAAAGAAAAAAGCCTTAAATAGGATGGATTATTAACATAATTTTCTCCTGTTGTAAGAGTTCCTGACTGGTGACGTCTTGGTTTTACTGTTACTGGTGTCGTAATTGTGTGTGATGACTGTAATGGTAATCTGGCGACTACAGATATAACTTTTAACAATAAAAGGAATGTGTTTAAACACTTTCGCACTGACCTTCCTAATAATTACAAAATACATACAAATATACCATGAGGTCGGATACGGAGACAATGTCAATTAATTTACATCCAAAAATGAGGATTTGAGTGATGATTATTAGTACCTATTGACTTGAATACTATTGTTTTGTAGTTTTTAACCCACCATCCATAATTCTGGTGTCGTCGATTACATTTTTTTCATATGCCACAAGTCCGCCTTACGTGGTTGGGTTATGTCGTACTTGCACTAACTAAAATCCCAAGGTGTCACCTTCACCGCTTTTGGGTGGGACCACGATAAAGTTCCATTTGCACACACTCAAACTCACACGCGTTCACCACTCCCAGTATAACTTCTCAGACAAGGCGCTGTGATAAATTTATAAATATAAAAACTAACGCAAACCGTCGGTGGGAAAACATAATTTATTTCATTAATTATTATATACATATTGGGTGTTCAGCTTAAAAATAACCACACTGCCTTAATATGTAACACAAGCGGTTCCAGAACTTAACACCTAACAATACTATGTGTGATACATGTTATATACTTGTATGGTTTAAAAACATCAATTGTGTGATAGATAACGTCTCAAACATATAATATAGCTTATATATATCTCGCAATATTTTGTCTGTGTTAGGAGCTTAGGTACTCGGTTAATTAAGGTTCACCATTTCAAACACGATCAGCAGCTGAAGAAATACTCTGCACGCATGTGAAATATATTATTTTCTACCTTATAATATTTCGAACTTATTTTGTGATGTTTCTTAAATTAAAGTTGGATAATATTTTACGTAGATTTTGTGTAAGAACCTTTGAGGTTTTGTCCTCTCCATATTGATTCATTGTTATACGTAAATCCTTAATATGAATAGTTACTTGAACTAGTAATAAGCCACGATCAAAAGTTGGCTGTAGTTAATACTTATTACTAAAATATAAAATAACTTTTATTATTGGGACACCATATTATGCCGAACAACCAGGCTACTTTTCGGTGTTGTATTTCTACAGCTGTAAATCGTACTTAACAAACCCATCTATGTCTTGAGATACAGTGGTATCACAAATTATGCATTTCTAACTAACGTATCTCCCACATTTTACTCACACTCGATACCTATCCTAACTGATTTTTATATAATAGCACACATCATCTCCGAAATTATAGTGCCGTTTATCCCCTCCATTAAAAAGCAAATAATTATCAGTCTTATTTCTAGTATATGAAGAATATAATGCAGATGGAGCAATAAGATCCAACTGTAACTTTTTCGAGCGGAAATATAAGGAACATTTATGTAATGAACATTCAAGAACTTCAAATGTGAACCTATTGTCAAAGTAGGAAACTAGTAAATCGCTTATATTAAAAGCAGCGAGCAATCGCGTGGTTCTTATGAAACTTTTGTTCAATGTTGGTAATGGATATTACTACGTAAATATATATCTGACGGCATCTGTAACAATAGCAGGTGCATCACCGTGTCTTACAAATATATGAAAAATAGAATTCACGAATCAAATGTGACATCGAAACATAGTGTTACATTAAGATCGATATTTAATTTCAACTTAGCCTATCATAGTACTACACATAATATGTATATATGCTTATGTAGATTTATACCACAGGGTTTAGTTAATACTGACGAGTTGTACAATAAAAACTTTCAGAGATATGATATACATAGCCCGAGAGCTATTCTATGTCTAAATGGATACTTATATACTGGAAAAAAGTTTGCGGTTTTAACAATTCTCTAGCAAGCTCATGATCACGATATATTTATAATCATTGTCACGCTGGCATCATCCCGAACGTGAAATTAAAAAATGAATGATTACTTTTCCTCAAACCTCGAGAAACGCCAACCAAACGATAAGTCGCATATAATATTTTTGATGTAGAATAATTATATAACAAAAATAACTTTAGCAACTTTGGCGTTTTACACATTAAATACATCCCTAAAATTACATTCCAATATCTAATGCGAATACAAAATATACTTACCTACACAATTTTATATCGTATCTGAATATGCCAAGTTGTGAACTTCTGCGAGAGACAAAAGGTCCAAATCGTAGGTACTTTAATTTTACTAATAATAGGCACTGAAAGATTGAAACATGATCGGTAAGTTGAGAATCAACGTATGGTCTTTGGAACTGTGACATTGAAAGACAACTTACAACATTAGCAGAAAAATCATTACTAAGATATATTATGATACTATCAAATGATGCCTGATCTACAGCTGAGGTACTGAGGTAGTAAGTACAACTTTTATGTTAAAACGTTCTAGAACAAAATTTATTTTAATTTTATCGCTTAATCCACGATTAATATTTTCGAGGTATACAAAAGGCATTTTTAAGATGGATTCTTAAACAAGCAACATGAACAAGCTATTTTGTATGGAAGTAGTTCACTCCTCGGCTTCCTCTGGGTTTTCAGCTTGCAATAAATTGGTATTGTCGTCTTCTTGAAGATCGGCGGTTAACTTCTGGAACAATGGAAACTGTTTTAGTTTCTGTATTTTTATCTAGATAGTATAATCTATGTTGTGGCGCTACATGAGTAATTACGAGTATACAATATATATATTATATATATATATATATATATATATATATATATATATATATATATATATTATTTCTTTTTTATGTCAAGTTTCTAAACGATTAATTGTCATTTTTTGTATGTTTTTTTTAATCATATACATTATGCTATTTCCTATATAAAAATAGTTGAGGCTAAATTTTAATTTCTAACGTTTAAGAATTATAAAAATAACTTCTTTACTAAAAATCAATATTTTACAAATAATTATATTCATATAATTTATCACTCAAATATAAAAGTACCTACTTATGTTTCAAATGTTATTGTTACTAGGGAACTGGCAAGCCAAGATGGCGGCATTAGACTGAATAAGTGACGAAGACCGATTTGTTAAAATTGAAAAAAGACATCACATATATATATTTGTGTACTCGTAATTACGTTTATATTATGTATTTTGACACATGATACATACATAATTATATATAGCAGCTTTTGATTCAAACACCTACCTATAGAATATGTAAAATAAAAATGTAAAAAATGGCAATCCACAAACTACTCCTGCAACGTCAGAAAATGAATCTAGAGCAGGAGTTTGATCGATGTCTTGCTCGTGGCTGCGCGTACACTGCTCGGTAACTCGTTCCACAATCTTATCACATGTGGAGTAAAGATTTGTACAAAAAGCTAGTGTGGACAGAGGGGGACATGGAGATTAGGATTTTCCGCACAACGGAGACAACGCTTATGGGAATCACCTTGATACTGAAATTTGCATTTTAGATATTCAGAGACAAACGGATCATGTAATACTGAAAATAATGTGCACAGTATTCTGAAATATCTGCGATAGCGAAGAGACACGAGTAGCATTCGTGCTGAAAGCGATAAGAGGAAATGTGGTCGTATATACGTAAACCGCAAATGAAGCGTACTTATACAATTATTAAGAAGTTAATACAGTTTGATAATTTGTTGTCATCTTGTAGGTCGTGACATAATCCCGTTGCTGTGGAAATCTTGGTATTTTTCATCAAGAAAATGCGACAAGTAGTTTTGACAGTACTCTCTTAATGTGAACCTAACGCTACCCATAGAATTCAAAAAGGACCGAAACAGGTGAAAATCTGAGGGTGCAAGGTCAGGACTACTTAAACGGTGGATGCCTTAATACTTCCTAACCAAACTCCTTCAATTTTGCTGAGTGACCCAAGATCTGTGTGGTCTGGCTTTATCATGATGAAAGACCACTCCTTTTCTGTTGATTAATTCCGGCCTTTTTTTTCAAATTCTTACCTGAATCTCATTAGTTGTTGGCAGTAGAGATCCGAATCAATGGCTATGCCCGGCGTTAAAGTTCATAATAAACGATGCCCTTCAAATCCCATAATATACATAGCAACATCCTTATTGCGTGTTAATCCAGGTTTCGCCACAGTCTGTGGAGCTTGACTAACCCTTTGATCATGATCTTTTTCGTACGTTCTTGTCGTAGGTGAACGACTTTTCATCACCAGTAATCAATATTTTCAAAAGTCGTTCGGCTTCATTACGTTTCTTTCAGTAAGCTCGTGTGGTACCCAAATATCGAGCTTTTTTGTATAGCCAGACTTTTTAAATATGTTAAAACTGTTTTGTGGTCAATCCTCGATTTCTCGGTTATGTCGTAACTACTAATATGCCAATTTCACTCTACTTTTTCAAAAATAGAATCGACTTTATCCGTGTGAGGGCGACCAGAGCGAGTTGCATATTGGACGTAAAAATTCTCGGACTGAAAGCGCTTGAACCAACTTTGTACTACTAAGTATTACTGACACTGCATTAGGTCCATAAACTTTTTTCGCGACTTGAGTCGTATTTTTCCCTTTTTTGTAATAAAACTTCAGAATGTCTCGAATTTATTTTAAACGGCACCTACTAATTTTTACTTAGCACCAACTAATTAATTATTAAGGTGACCAATTTTAGGTACAAATGATACAAAATTGAACAGGGTAATAAAATATAATAAATATTCAAAGAATATTCAACTGTACCCCAATTTGTGCTGTGCCGGTAGTTGTCCTCGCTCTGCGTCTCACGGCGAGGGCCAGAAGTAGTACCAACACGATCGATGACATCGCTGCTACCAACAAAGGCAGCAGAAGATTGTCGCCCAGAGAATAACCCTGTGAAAAAATAGATAAAAGTGTCAAATGATCTTAATGGTCCTGGTGGTGTATTTGGTTTTTCTTAATGGCATATCAAAAAGGCTATGGGAACGCTTTCGCACACATTCGCAGTGCCATCGCCCGCCGACGGCTCCTCATTATGCAAGGTTGCAGGAGTACTATCACCTATGGGGTCTAAGATATAATTTCTAACAGCTTGTGCTAGTGGCTGTCTATACTTTTAAAGTGAAACACAACACTACATGTACCTACTACTACTACTTTAGACGAAATTAATAAAGCGCAGGTAAGGTACTCAAACCGACTTTTATAAGAAAATAAGTTAATTCAAAGTCTATCATGAGTAATGTTTGTTACATTTATTTTAACATTTTTAAATAAATTAAAATAAAAGTGGTGTAAACCCAAAAGCTTTTACTGCGCACCTGTCCGCTGCGCCCAAGCGGTACAGAACTTTTTGGTTTGTGTAGTTTCTATTCATTGAAGATCTCTCCCTTCTTACCTAAATTGTAAAAAAATTGTAAAATTCTGCTAATTCGTGACTATTTTGTTTGTATAATACCTGTTGGACTATAGAAGTATGTTTTTAAAATGTTTGATGTTGTTTAAGGCTTTGTAATTTAAGTATTTTGAAACTCCTCAAACAGATCACCTTTTTATACCATTATATCATATTGGGTATTTTCGTTTTTATAACTTACGTCCATAGATTTAGTATAAATTGAAGCAGGTACATATATGTATGACAGACATTTAAAAACACATGTACTCCACTGACCTCTTGGTCAGTGATGTACTCTCTATAGGCACAGAATAAATAATAATACTACGTATAGAAGTTGCACTCCTTTGATTTTTTTTTTGATTGCTTGCCGACGTTTTAATAGCCTACATCCTATACCTTTAAACGAGCAATTCTTTTATAATATCGCTTTTTCAGCTTATCCGATCATTAATTTATAAATTTTTTAAATTACATTATGTGCAAATTCCTAAGAAAATAGTCTAATCTACAAAACAGCAGGAATTATAAAATCTTTCACCAAAACACATATAACATCAATTTCCCCCGTTTCACTTAGAGTGGACGTAACGGATTTTGATATTTAACGACACATATATAATCGGAATCTCGGAAATTGCTTCAACGACTTTCATAAAATTTAGTGTCCAGGGGGTTTCGGGGGCAATAAATTAATCTAGCTAGGATTAATTTTTAGAAAATGTCTTTTTGTCCGTGTTTTCAGGCAATGAAAAACAGCTACAATTTTGACACTCTCTTAATGGTCGTAATAGCTCAAGTGGATATCGGGCCGTCGCGAAATCTTAGTGCCTTGGTTCGCAAACTTTCTTCGGTCCAACTGATTTTCCTTTTTTTTTCAAGTTCTCTTCTTTTGTGAGAAAATCTATTTTTATTCTCTTTATTTATATCTTTTTTAGTATTTTTTTAAAACTACGAAAATTTAAATTAAACTAATTGCACTCATGAATTTTTATTTAAATAACCTGTTCAGTTTTTTTCCATTATGTCGATAAGATCAAAAAATATTATTCATGTTTCATTAGTATGTTATTTGTATCTAAATATAATTTCCAAAACACACGATTTCCAAAAAAAAAAAAAAAAATACCGAGGAAAGTTCGGTCATCCAGGTACTAATTATTATTAGATAAATCACGTACGCAAGCTAAATAAAACTTTATCGCTGCGCTCGAGTGTCCGTATTACTTTGCATCTTTTGCCCTTCCTACGTCACTGCTGACTTTCCATGATTATTAAGGGCTGTGTGATAAAGAGTAAAACAATACATTGCGAAATGGTATGTAAGTTACTTAGGTAAAGTACCTTATCTGTCTATGGTCGACTGACCATATTTTTGCTACTATGTGAGTTCTGTGATACCCAAAACATGAAACTTGCAAGTCCATTCGTCGGGAATCGCGATGCTTAGCTCGGAAGAAATGGGCAGATAGTGTAAACAACAAATAAATCCGAAATACGGTTTCTAACAGAAATGTGATCGTATTGTACTTAGTAAAAAAACTTGTGAACAATGTTTTAATTTCAGTATTTTGTGTTACTATAACTAAAAATATTTTAATTACAAAAGACAAATATATATAATATATGTAAGTAGGTACATAGTTGGATAGTGAAGTAAATTTCGACCAAGTAGTAATACCTAAATACTTTATTACAAAAATAAAGTATTTAGGTATTGCTTCCGTTGTTAAATTATAACTTAATTCTTTTTCCGCTATAAGTACCTATCTAACAAAAAATAAATAAACATGACAAAAATTCCTTTCATTATCCTTCAATAACCTTTTGTTTTTTGTTTTTATAGGATAGGGTGACAAACGAGCACACAATCCACCTGATGGTAAGTGGTTGCTGTGGCCCATAGACATCTACACATGTATCCTCGATTGTAAATCAAAATGCAGATGCGTTGTCATCCGTAAGCACTAAGATGAAGTGCCTCGTTTCCAGCAAAAAGAGTCTCCGGTTCTCTACACTCACCATACGAAACACAGCAGCATTAAGTTACTATTTTACGCTGGTATTCTGTGAGAGTGAGGTCCTTCCCCGGTCGAGCCTACCCATTGGTGCTACAACTATGCTACTAATATAACTGCAGCATGGCTCTACCACGTAAGTATAAAAATGTTTGGTCACTAAGCATCCATTCACGCAACTAATAAAGTAGAAACAACGTTTTGCTATTATAGTTTATCAAATAGATAATAACGTAATATGAGTAATTCAATCCTAATGTAATTGTAACAGAAATTTGATGGAAAGAAAAAGATTGTTATATATATATATATATATATATTATACAAGAATTGCTCGTTTAAAGGTATTGGATTAGCTTATTTCATGGTCTTAATGACTGTTCCTCTTTTACATTTTTATAAACTTCGTGGATAAAAAACTACATATATACATAAAAACAACATGTCATGCTTAGTTTGCTGTTTCCATACCTTGGTTTCAATTTAAGACGTTGTTGACAAATACTTTTAACATATGCGCCGATAAAACAATTTATATAATATACTATTTTTTTTAATTTTAAATGTAAATTTTAATCTTGCCAAGAGTGTAACGTACGAAGAATTTATATCTTTTATAAAAAACTAAAAAGGACACTAAAACTTTTTATATTTTCCCAAACACGCAATGCTAATTCACAAATATTATGTTAACATTACAATAATAAATCATAAATCCTTGATCATACTTACCGTCCATTGGAAATAGGATGATGTGTCGACGAAAGGCCAGCGTGCTCCGTACCAGCCGCTACCACCTGCCTTTGAAACCGTCACCTCATCAGAATCGCTTATTGGAACCGCCGATTCTGGTTTTAATGGAGGCAGTGAAAATACTTCGTCAACTTCTAATGATTCTTTAAATTCATCATCTTCATCTACTGACAGTAGTGTTGTCGTGGACTGTGTGGTCACTAGGGGCCGCGTTGTGGGTGCTCTTGTTGTAATCAATACATCATCAAATAACTTCGAATTAATTGTAACGGTTTTATCTGAAGTAACAAACGGACGGGAATAATATTTGAAAACGTTTCCTATTGTGATTGGGTCAGGGGTAAGGGTTGGTCTTATTATAATATCTTTCTCCCATGGTTTTACAGACATATAATTATCTAACAAACGTACACTGCCAGATGGTGTGTTAACAAGCGGATATTGCTCGATAATTTCCGTCGGAATAGGTCGCAGCGTCGTAGAAGGAATGAAACCTCTCCAAGACCTTAAAGCAGGCATGGTCCATGGCGGCGTTATCGCTTTATTACGGACTGTAGTTGCTGGCACACTAGTTGAAGTAACGGTTGATCGCGACGTAGTACTATCCAGTTTGGGGTCTGTTGATGATAGTAATTCGGGTAGAATTTTCAGTTCTTTTTTGCGTGATTTTACTATTTCGCGACCAGCTGGAGTAAGAGGTGCGGTAGTAATGACCTCATGAAGATCTGGTAGGTTTCTTCGAGCATATAAGGCAGTGTTCATAATATAAAGTGGAACAGATGCCAAAGCGAGTGCGACGACAAGTCCGAACACTATTAGTAGAACATATTTCAGCGTAGATCTTCTTCGGGTTCGCCGCACGTGTATTGAAGGGCTGTAATCTCGTCCCTTTCCCTTTAAACCACTATTATTTAACACCTCCTCTGTCTGCGGTAGGATAGTGTACTGCAGACTGTTCTCCCCGTGTCTCACCGTCTTGTACATGTTAGCTGTTGTTATTAAGAAAAGAAACACAATGTTACGTTATGTACTCGCGTGTTGTCTTATCACGTGCTCGTATTTTCACTAATTTGAGATGACACTGTATTGCAAACGTGTCCGGGTGTCACGGTTCATTAATGTTGAGACGGGTCAGTGCGAACCAACTGGGATCTTCGCGCTTTATGCTGCGTTGATGGTCGCTTGGTTGTATTAAGTGAGATGCGCATGCGTGACAACATTGAGCGGCTGCGCGTTCCCCTTCTGTTTCATCGTGCCTTCTTCACCCAAGCTTTGAGGTTATGAGTTAGATGCCGGTTACAAAAAATTCCGTTACACTGTATTTGTATTATCAGTAATAATGTTACACATGAAGGTTTAAATACACAAACATTTATTTTAATTTTCGCAATTTTTCTGTAACTGACTAAAATCATTTCTGTTTTACAATTCGTTTGGAATCATGATGGTTACCATAGATTCTCTCTCTCCTAATCTGACCCTTCTCTCTAGAAATGGGTATCTTTTGAAATAGGAAGGATTCACCATGATCGACACGCTCGGCAAGCTCATCGCCTTTTATTCAGATATCTATCATACATCTGGCTTACGTATATTCTGTTTCCACAAATCCAAGATTCTGAGGTGTTATTTGTGAAATCGGAAACATAAACAGAGCGAAAGCCTTCATTATTAATTTTAGTTCTAATACGTCTTTGATATTGCTTGCCGTTTGAGTCGAATAGTTTCCATGTCAAAATTTATATTTAAAACGTGCACCAAGAATCCTTGGTTATGGCCAAAGAAACAAATAAATAACTGTTTTACAAAACTGCAATTACATAGGCAAAGAATTAATAATTGGGGTTAAGTAATTTAAACAACTTTTTTTTTCAAAAAGTATATGTTATTATAATTTGATAGATGTATTAAAAAAGTCATTATCTATACATATCTGTCATCTCGAGGGAAGATCGTTTATGCCTTTGAAACAGACCACTAGGGATCTGAACTCTACAAAGTCTATGAATATGAAAGCATACTATACCGCCTCATGGGAACAATTTTTTTCCTTGAAAGAAATTGTCTAAACTGCGGAGAAAATAGTCGACTGGAGCTAGGTCTGGCGAGTAATGAGGATGACGTTTGGTTGTTTTAATAAGTCCGAGTTGTTACCCAGAGAGTTTGCCATCATTGTTTGAAGTTGTTCACAATGGACATCTGCTGTTATTAAATACCAGAATTCAAAAAGCTATAGTGAATTACACCATTATTATTGCTGCCATGCACACAGTAGAAAGGCGTGTCAAGAGGAATATTGGTGATCCCAACATGGTTGTGTCTTACAGGATTCATTATAGAGAATGTGTATGCGTATTATTTAATTATGTCATCACTGGATACCCAGATGCTTAGTTGGTAATGGTATGTGTGTATGTACCGTCATATTTTCGTCAGTTTTGCACTGACGAAAATGTAACTATTTAATAAAATCATCAGATTTTTTTAAATTAAATAGTTAGGTTTAATGGTTATTGTCGACATACAACGCATTTGTTCGTAATTTGACCTCAAGGGAGTGGAATTAAGTGAAATAATTTTTCAGAATTAGGTCATCATAGGTGTCTTTTTGAATTTAGAAAATGGTTTTGTGTAAAGAAGTTTTGATCATTAACCTTGAACCATACCGGTTTAATTTTAATTCAAAGTGGCCATTAAACGACAATTTTACGAGTGTACTTTAACCTCTATTATAACAGTTCCGTGTAATGAAGAAACTTTTTTTATTTTGTCTTTGATACTAGCATATATACATAGGTATTTAAATTTTATCTAATCTACTATTTAACCTTTAAAATTATGGTGTTGAGTGTTTACAGAGTGCAGCTAACATTTTATATTGACGAACTGTGAGGGCCTCAGCGTCTGTTGCCATATACACCCAAATTTACAGAGAAGGTTCAGAATCTTGAACGAATTAATTTTTGTTAATTCGTTCAAGTTCAGAATAAATAATAAAGGTGAATGGGGAAGAAAACTTAATTTAAGAAAATCTTAAACATTCTGTATTTTTTATCTTTTAAATTCAGAAGGCGTGGTAATGCATTACTTTTAGTGATATAACGAAAACCACTTTTACGAATACGAATAAGAAATTCAAACCTACTATTCGGTGAATATGAATACGAATATCTCGCCATGGTAGGTACTGAAAAACTAATCTATTTGATGATATTCTATTGTTCTAATAATTAAAATTTACATCAGGCAAATTTTTATTTAAAAAACATAAAATTTGTAGATTTTCTGGTTTAGGCGTTGTCAATCCGGATGTTCCCAGCCGTTGAAAAAAGCCTTTCCGAGGCTACTGTACATGTTTTCAGTGAAAAATATTTTTGGCGAGTTTTTTTTAGCCTTGAAAAATGGACATCTTTTCGCCAAATAAAAGGCCAATGGATTAGAGGCAAGATTTAAGGCTTCGTATTATTGGGGTCGTCGTTGGTTTTTTACTCTTTAGTAGCTTCTTCAAAATTGGCCAGAATATCAATACTTTGGCTCATAAGAGCCCATTATTGCCTTGCTGTGATTTCATTAAGACAATTTAGTGGAGATGGTAAAACATCTTGAATGGTTAACAAAAATGTAGTGAACTGAATGGCTCACAGAGGAGCGCACCTACACATATTTGTTGCCCATAAATCACATTTAATTTGGGATAATTTCAAGTAAAAGTAGAAGCCTTATTTCCTCGTATTTCTCCTGCATCATGTAGAGGGCTATTACACTTCGCTGATGGTAAAAACTGACTATTCTTCTTCGGCGACTTAAAGTATGTTTTCGTGGAAGCACGCATCAAGATGTACCGATCTTGTCGGTGACACCTCTGACATATGGCAGTAAAATTCCCCTCCTGGTGCTCTGCCAGTATCTCTGGTCTCTTTACGCCCTTGTAACTTCGACTGCCCTCTTTATTAATAAGAGAACAGACGGGAGTCTTTAGTCTGCCGGTTCAATTGATGGAGCGACTGGCCAGGATCTCCTGCTTCATCGATTCCCCTCTGAAGATCTTCATTGCGTCCAACAGCTCTTCCGATAGGCGATACAGGTCTCGATTAATCTGAGGGCAACGTGAGCCCGTCTAGAGCTTTCGAAGTGTACGTTTCGTCATTATAATAATAATAATCTTTATTGATAATTTATACAGTGAATATGTGAAGTCCTTGATTGATGAACTAGGAATTACACCTGTATATTTATTTCATTCCGATTCGGATGATATACCGGATGTCAGTCTGAGCGAGATTAGAATGGCTCTTCAGCACCTGAAAAATGGCATGTCCCCAGACGAGGATGGAATTACAGCGGAGCTTCTGAAAATGGGTAGAAAACCGTTACGTAAAGACTTTCACAAGCTCTTTAATTCTGTTCTCCATAGTGGCACTACTCCGGAGGCGTGGAGCAGAAGAACAGTGATCTTTTTCTTCAAGAAAGGCGACAACGCTTTCTTGAAGAACTACGTAGGTCACTCAATAAGTTTTGAGATGCTCGACATTTAAAAATGGAATGAAAATGAAATATGTTCCTAAAAATCTAATTTATTTAAAAATAGATCTCCATAAGCCAATTGCTTAATATTAAAAAAAACAAAGTTCTATAAATTTTCCTGCAACGCTTCCCGCGCTTTTCATTTAAAATGATGGATCTTAACTGTGAACATTTGTTCGCTATGATCTACCATGATTTTAAATTTGGTTTAATCGAACAATTAAGTTTACAACGTTTACAATCACCATTAGGGGACTCAGCCCCATCACGCGCAACAATTTTTAGGTAGTTTGCTGAATTCCTTGAAAGGGGTAAAATTAACCTTATCTTTAAAAAACAAAAGAACCGGAACAGCAGTAACGGCAGAAAATACATGGACTACTGAAATGTTCTCGGTTATCTACACTCACCATACGAAACACAGCAGCATTACACTGCTATTTTACGCTGGTATTCTGTGAGAGCGTGGTCCTTTCCCGGTCGAGCTGACCCATTCATGCTACAACTATAATATAGCTACAGCGTGGCTGGGGACGTATCTTGATTCTTAATCGAGGTTAAATGTAGATGTCAATGGGCCACAGTATCCATTTACTATAAGGTAGACTGTGTGTTCGTTTGTCACCATTATTCTGTAAAAACATGTTCTGGCCTATGTTCAGTAGTTCACTTGTGTGTTCGTTTGTCACCATTATTCTGTAAAAACATGTTCTGGCCTATGTTCAGCAGTTCACTTGTGTGTTCGTTTGTCACCATAATTCTGTAAAAACATGTTCTGGCCTATGTTCAGCAGTTCACTTGTGTGTTCGTTTGTCACCATTATTCTGTAAAAACATGTTCTGGCCTATGTTCAGCAGTTCACTTGTGTGTTCGTTTGTCACCATTATTCTGTAAAAACATGTTCTGGCCTATGTTCAGCAGTTCACTTGTGTGTTCGTTTGTCACCATTATTCTGTAAAAACATGTTCTGGCCTATGTTCAGTAGTTCACTTGTGTGTTCGTTTGTCACCATTATTCTGTAAAAACATGTTCTGGCCTATGTTCAGCAGTTCACTTGTGTGTTCGTTTGTCACCATTATTCTGTAAAAACATGTTCTGGCCTATGTTCAGCAGTTCACTTGTGTGTTCGTTTGTCACCATTATTCTGTAAAAACATGTTCTGGCCTATGTTCAGCAGTTCACTTGTGTGTTCGTTTGTCACCATTATTCTGTAAAAACATGTTCTGGCCTATGTTCAGTAGTTCACTTGTGTGTTCGTTTGTCACCATTATTCTGTAAAAACTTGTTCTGGCCTATGTTCAGCAGTTCACTTGTGTGTTCGTTTGTCACCATTATTCTGTAAAAACATGTTCTGGCCTATGTTCAGCAGTTCACTTGTGTGTTCGTTTGTCACCATTATTCTGTAAAAACATGTTCTGGCCTATGTTCAGCAGTTCACTTGTGTGTTCGTTTGTCACCAT